TTTAATTCTATTCCCATTTTATCTTTTCACTTACAGTTTGCTTTATTCTTACATCTCTAAAGGTAACTTAATACCATATTTTATATAGAATATATATAAAATCTATCTTTATATAAAATCTCCTTATAAGCCACCTAATCCAGTGTAGAACAAGGTAGAATACAAGTAAAAACATTCATAATAAAAACAATGAGTTTCTTACCATTACATTGGTGTTGTAAAAAATCAAATGGAAACAGTTGTCTAGTAATTAGAGTCCCACCTTGTTATAATTATAACTTCTCTCTGAGAACTATTCATAGTTATTATTGTAGGGAGTGCACACAAAATTCAGTCCAAGGACCAGGTTGATGATATTAGACACTTTATAGAGGTGTTTGTGTAACTGTATAGACAGGGTAGAATATGTTTTTTGCAATTTTATTAAGTAGTAATTTGTTTGTATTGTTTTAAAAAGTCAGTGAAAACATAATCCAGACACACATACACAAACTTTTAGTTTGTTTGTTTGTTTTTTTTTTTGGTGAATCCTCATCTGAGGATATTTTTCCATTGATTTTTAGAGAGAATGCAAGGGAGAGGAGGAGAGAGAGAGAAAACCACTGATGTGTGAGAGACACATCGATTGGTTGCCTCCAGCATGCACCTCGACCAGGACTGGGAATTGAGCCTGCAACCTAGGTATGTGTCCTTGACTGGAATTGAACCCAGGACCCGTCAGTTTGAGGGCCAACATTCTATTCATTGAGTCAAACCAGCTAGGGCCAAATTTTTAGTTTTATCCTGGATATTCTTATAGTTGTATTGTATAAAGTATAAAAAAGATGGAAGATTTCACCAATGCCTTCTGGTAAGAAAAACCATCAGAAGGATTTGTGTGGATAGGACAAGGAGGCAAAATCCAATGAACTAAAGAAATAAGCTACAGTCACCATAAAAAATAAATTATATTTTAAATCTTAAGCACTGACATAGGGAATTAGCAATATCATAAGGGACTATATTGTTACTTTATTGTGGTATCTTTCATTATGCTTTTGTCTAGATATTATAACATACAGACATTCAGTGATCTCAAATAATATGTGTCTCCTGAAATTAATGTCCTTTTATTTGCATTTGTCACTTTTTGTACTATGATAGTAGTTTATAGTAGGTAGATCAAATCAATTTGGATAATCATATATTTTAAACACAGATGAAATAGAAACATTAACCAAAGCTTCATTATTATATAAAGTGTCTTATGGAAATCAGGCTTACTTAAATAGCAATTATTCTTTACAATGTCTGACCTGTCTTTCTTTGTGTGTCATATTCCCAGTTCTTTTCCAAGACTATGGCAGACCAGAGTGCTTTAAGAGAGTTCAAAACCCATATGTGGTACTGACAAATGGTTGATTAAATTTGTTTAGTCAACTTCAATTCCCTCTGGGAACATTCCTTGAGCATGTGCTCAGAGAATCTACACTAATAAAAGAGAAACATGGTAATTAGCGTACGACCGCTACCCTTTTCATTGGCTAATCAGTGAGTATATGCAAATTAACTGTCAGCCAAGATGGCGGCCGGCAGCCAGGTACTGAAGCGAACATGAGGCTTGCTTGCTGCGGACTCCAACGTTCCCCGCCTGACTTGCCGGCCTCTCAGCTGCAACTCTAAGCAACTATGTACTATGTTGCAAATAAGAAGGTAAACAAAACCCCAGAAACCAGCCGGACTGAAATCCAGCCGGACCGAAACATTGTATCCATGTTTTCAGCAGCGAGGCCTCAGAGCTAAAGCTGGCCCAGAATAAAAAAAAAAAAAAAAGAAGAAGAAAACAAGGACCGGTTGGGAGCTTTAGTCACTCGCCACCCGGAAAACAGCCCTCAGCCCCTCAGCCAGACTGGCCAGGCACCCCAGTGGGGACCCCCACCCTGATCCAGGACACCCTTCAGGGCAAACCAGCCAGCCCCCACCCATGCACCAGGCCGCTATCCTATATAGTAAAAGGGTAATATGCCTCCCAGCACCGGGATCAGTGGAGCAGCGAGGCTCCCGGCACTGGGATCAGCGTGACAGGGGGCAGCGCCCAAAACCCCTGATCCCCTGCGGCTCTGTGTGTGACAGGGGGCGGGGCCACAACCTCCCTATCCCCCCTGCTCTGTTAGTGACAGGGAAAAGCCCCCACCCCCTGATCAGCCCTGCTCTGTGCCTGATAGGGGGGAGCTCCCCAATCCCCTGATTGCCCTGCGGCTCTGTGTGTGACAGGGTGCGGCGCCCCAACGCCCCCCCCCCCGCCCCCATGAGACCTGCCCTGTGTGTGACAGGGTAGAGCCATAACCTCTCCATCGGCCCTGCCCCGAGTGTGACAGCTGTGACGCCCCATCCCCCTGATTGGCCCTGCTCTGTGGATGATAGAGGGTGGCGCCCCAACCCCCCTCTACGGGCCTTGCTCTGTGTGTGACAGGGTAGAGCCATAACCTCCCCATTGATCCTGCCCTGAGTGTGACAGGGAGCAGGGCTCCAACCCCCTGATCCGCCCTGCTCTGTGTGTGACAGAGAGGAGGTGCCCCCAACTCCCCTATCGGCCCTACTCTGTGAGTGAGAGGGGGGGAGCTCCCCAACCCCCTGATGGGCCCTGCTCTGTGTGTGACAGGGTACGGACCCCCAGCCCCTTGATGGGCCCTGCTCTGTGAGTGACAGGGGGCAGCGCCCCAACCCCAACCCCCTGATTGGCCCTGCTCTGTGCATCACAGGGGGTGGCGCCGCAACCTCCCCATTGACCCTGCCTTGAGTGTGATAGGGGCGGTGCCCCAATCCCCCATACCCTGAGCGTGACTGAGGGTGGCATCGCAACCTCCCGATCCGCCCTGCTCTGTGCATGACAGGGGGCGGCGCCCCAACTCCCCAATCAGCCCTGCTCTGAGCCCGACCAGGGGCTGCACCTAGGGATTGGGCCTGCCCTCTGCCACCCAGGAGCAGGCCTAAGCCAGCAGGTCGTTATCTCCCGAGGGGTCCCAGACTGTGAGAGGGCACAGGCCGGGCTGAGGGACCCCCTCCCCCCGCCCCCAGTACACAAATTTTTGTGCACCGGGCCTCTAGTATAGAAATAAGTAAGGATTAGACCCTATCCTCAAAGAGCTCAAAATGCATACTTAGCTGTGATATTCAGAGATGGGGATGAATAAACTTAGCTGAAGTGAATAGATTTTTTGAATTGGCCATTAAATACCCACAGGCTTTTATGATGCAGGCAAAGAATGGACTCTATGTGAGAACATTTTTCAGAAACTCAGAGGTAAATAAAAAACAATTGCTAAAGACTTAACTGGCAAGTAGTCTCATTTCATTTTTTAGACAATATGCATATATTACTAGATGAAAATACTAGTAAAATTAACTTTCAAAAAGTTCTTTCTATTACACACACACACACACACACGCACACACACACACACAACCGAATAGCCCCCAGCACTTTCCAGTATTGGGGCACTGATCGAATGGGCCATCGTGGGGAAGAGTGAGCTAAGGGGAGGGACTCACGTATGAGTGGGCCACCTTGGTAACTTGTTTTACATAAATTATACATATGCATATTAAAAAAAGACTCTAAGTTACTCCACATAGGAGCAGCAGGAACAAAGGCAAATAACTTTAAAGCTCATGGGACAGAGGGGGAATATTAGGCAAACTGAGGCCGACTTGGGTTTCAAGCAGTCTCAGCATTAGCATATCCCTTCTAGAAAGACAGCTTACTATAATGGAGAATGATATGGAGACTGGTAGACAAGAGAGAAATCTCTTGTCAAGCTATAGGGCAGGTTTTGGTGAGAATTGTCAAAACAAGTTCAGTGACCATGGGATTAGCGATAGACTACATTAGATTTGCTATGAAAGTGAGACTAGAAAGAGAAAAGACCATTATAGCTTCCCAACGCAATTAGCATTGACTTGCCGGCTCTTGCTTAAGTCAACCATCAGTAAATTACAGCCCAAAGGCCAAATTTGCCTTACCACCTGCTTTTGTACTGTGCTTGAGTTAAGAATGACTTTTACACTTTTAAATGGTTGAAAACAAATCAAAAGAAGAAAAATATTTCATGGCAAGCAAAGGTTTGTGAAATTCAAATTTCAGTGTACAGAAATAAAGTTTTATTGGAACACAGACATGCTCATTTGTTTATGTATTGTCTTTGCCTGCTTTTGCACTATAAAGGCAGAGTTGAGTAGCTGCAATGGAGATTGTGTGGCGCAGAAAGCCTTAGCTACTATTTGGACATTCACAGAAAAGTTTGCTGACCTCTGGGTTAAGTGGTTGATAATAATGCTTTGGTATCTCCAGCTTTATAGATATTGTGCACATGTTCATTCAAAACAGCTCAGCTGGACTGACCTGGTGAAACATGCGAACTAAGAACATCCATGCTATTTACCATGTAGACAATGAGCAAAGAGTTGGAGATCCTCTATCCATCAGTCCATGGTGGTGGTGTTGTGTAGGGCACTGATGAACTTTCCTTTGAAGCACTGTGAGTCTTGACTTCTCATTCCCTAGTGCTTACCATAAAGTTTATTTGTTAGTACATACCCCCACCCCTTGTTTTTGTTGTAGTTGTTTTGCCTTTCTTTTTATTTTTTAAAATCAACTTTTATTGATTTCAGAAAGAGGAAGGGAGAGGGAGAGAGATAGAAACATCAATGATGAGAGAGAATCATTGATTGGCTGCTTCCTGCACACCCCCTTACCGGGGGTCAAGCTTCCAACTGGGGCATGTGCCCTGACTGGGAATTGAACCATGACCTTGTGGTTCATGGGTTGATGCTCAACCACTGAGCCACACCAGCTGGGCTCCTTTTTTTTTTTTTTTTTTAGTACTCATTAAAAAGTGACAATATGCAACTCTGGTCATATAACTTGTCTTTTGGCAATTTTGGGCTTATAAAAATGTACCCATATTTTAACTGTTTTATTCACCTGCTATATTCTTTGTCTAATCACACATGTCCCCAAATGGAAAAGAAAAATAATACAAAGAAAGAAATTTGATGCCACTGAAGCTATTAGAAATAACCAGTCTATCTGAAGGTAATTTTATGGGAGGAACTTCAGATAAGTTTCAACAGGCCACAATGATGATTGGATAAGGGTTTATGTGCAGAAGGGGGTTAATTACATGTTTCTGTTGACATATAAAATGGTTTTATTCCTCCATTTTAATGATTTTTTAGCACACTCTACCACATCTAATTTGGAGCAATTCAGTATTAAATCACTTGCTGAGAGAGCAACAAAAAAGTAACTAAGAAACAGGGTGAATCAGTTTGAAAAGCAATGCCATGCAGACTGGGAAGGGAAGAGATAATGTTTCAAATGACAAACATCTCAGTAATGTGGTTATTACCATTATTATTAATAATTAAAATAATGATAATAATGATAGCCCTTGCTTTTTGCACAATACTTTTCTACTTGGGAGCTCAAAGTAATAAACTATTTTATCATTTTTTATCTCCACATAATTCACCAGTTTAGGAGGGGTTTGGGATTATAATTCCTGTTTTTCATGTGGAGGAAATAAGAGAGAATTGAATCTGCTGGTACAAGAATGTACAATAAATAAATTGGTGGTGGGGCTCAGCAATACACTCCCTTGCTTATTCAAAGTGTTTTTGATGGTTTCTCTTTTTTCTTTGTCCCATGCTACCTCTCTTATCTCATTCAAAGCCTCCAAAGACCATCACTGAAACAGCTGTAAACGGTGGGGGTCAGGAAAGGAGGATACACTGGTAATTTGGGGCACGATAGTGACAGAAATTCCATGAAAAGGCATATAATCATTCTCACTAGCTTTTGAAATTCAACCCCCCTCTCTCTTTTGTTTAATTCAAAAGCTATGATATCTCTTGTTAGAAAAAATCCACCACAACACAAAAAAGCACATTAAAATTAAAATTTCTCTCTTATTTCTGTTATTCCACTTCTTACTGTTTATAATTTTTGTCTCTTCCTATATATTTTGCAGTGCACACACATATATAGTTTTATTTATAGAAACTAGACACAGAATACATATTCTTCTGCAACATTTTTTCATTAAAATATATCATTGACCTTTTACACGTTAATACATGTAGCTCTACCCCATCAGTCTAATGGCTGCATTATTTTACTTTTCTGTCTTGATAAAAAGTTATCATAAAATAGAACTTCTGTCATATTTCACAATCCTATATAGTGATCATATACTTTTATAGTTATATCATATTTCCTTCCATTATAAACTCATATTCTTTATCTGGAATGTTTTGCTATTAGTAGAGAAGCCCTTCCCTCCCATGGCTGTCCCCTCCCTCCACGCCCCACATTTTGCTTACGTCTGCTATATGCATCTCCTTTCTTCTGCAACAGGCGAATAGCAAGCATTCACAGATGAAGGAACAGTAGTCAGTTTTTAGGCTTCTTAGGCACAGTTGCACATAAAAATAACCTCCTGTGGAGAACTCTTTTTATATTTCAATAATTGCCATTGTAGGAGCAGGTGTTTTGAATCCACTCAAGGGAGAACTAGTGATGGAAGAGATAGGGTAGAGGAAGATGAAGTTTCCTTGACTACAGTCTCATGGGAAAGTCATAGGACCAGGTAGAGTCCCAGGGGCCTTGCACCACACCCCAGGCCTTTAGCAGAGGCAGAGTCATGTAGCAATGGTGCCATTATTGACTTCTGCAATAATGTTCACACAGAACAGGACATGGAGGCAGAGACAGGATGTGATGATGGTGTGGCAGGGATCAAAATGATATCACTTCTTGGCCAAATATCACGTGGAAATAGTCTCCTTGTTTCTGCAATATATATATTGCAAAATGCTTTGCAGTTTCCAAGAACTTCTCAATTCATGATTTCATTATGGGTTCCACAGTCAACCTCATGCTTTTGAAAATATGGGTATTCTTCTGTCCCTATTGTCAGACCGAGAAACTATGCTCAGAGTCTAAGTGATTTGTCCAAGCTGGTAAGGAAAGAGCTGGACTTGGAATTCTCTTTATTTTGATTCAATCCCTGGTCCCCCTTCAAAAATAACACCATACTTGTCCCTCGTCTTCATGTACCAGACAGTGCTCTGGAGGTATGAATACATGCCATCGATTCTACCAGCATGACAAATACCTCAAGAAATTTAAAATAGCATCATATTCAAACTCTTTAGCCAACTGACATATTATTTCATTTCCTCTAGTTTTTGAGTTTGCTTAGTAACTATTATAACACAAGGAAACAGCAACTTTACTAATCAAGCACAAAGAAGGCTAACAGACTTTTTTTCAGTAACGTGGTTCTGAAGGCAGAACAAATGGGAGAGGCTGAGGGAGTCTCATGAACAAGGGATTCCCTGCAGCATCATTGAAGTTTAGAGATAACTATTAGCTCAAACATTTAGCATTTTTAGAATAGACCTCTGGTTGTCTTTTATGTGTATCCTGAAAGCTTGTTTGGATATAGATCAGAAAAACAGAAAGAGATTGAATTAGAAACTCTATCTGGAACCTGGTATGATTAAAGCTGCAACACATTTCTTGGGCAGTTTTAGATTCTAGAGGAGTAGAAACAGGCTTTAAACATTTCCATAGCTCCTACAGTGCTAACTCAGTGTCCTGCACACAGACAGCACAATAAATCATGGCTAACATTTGCATAGCACTTTCTACATGTTAGGCACTGTTGTAGGCATTTTACACGAAGTCATTTATTTAATCCTTACAACAATTCTATGAGATAGGTTTACCATTATCATCCTTGCTTTATGGACAAGAAAACCTAGGCACAGAGAAGTCAAATTACTTGCCAAAAGTCAGGCAACCAGAGCCAGACTGGCTTAGCAGCCTGGGACCCAGGGTGTGTTCTAAACAGTATTCTATCATCTGTGCGAGTGTCCTGAATTCCTCAGGAATAACTGTTTTACCCAAGAAGTGGGTACAGGGTGCACTGTGATATAATTCACCCATTTGCTTTCTTTCTCAGGTCTTCTGTGGCCAGGGCCACGAAGAGAGAATGTGTGAAGCCATGGGTGATTGGCCTCATCACCTTTTTATCCCTGATTGTCCTGGCCGTGTGCATTGGACTCATTGTTCATTATGTGAGATACAGTAAGTATGGGCTGCCCTGGCATCATGTGATTTACCCCAAATATTTCCTCCTGTACATTCCTGTTTTGGTTAGCCACAGGCTTATTCATTCATTACTACGATTCATTTGCATAGCTGGTACGAAGAACGCTTTACCTGCCTTGTTTCATGTTTAATCCTCACGAGCCAAGGAGATTCTTTCTTCCATCTTTAATGAAGCAATGCTTCCTACTGGGAATAGCATGCTCGTTTTTATATTCATTAATAATCAACTCTTAATTAAGGGAAGACCACAGGATAGCTAGAGTCCAGTGGCTTGAGTTGTTTGAGGTTATAGGGCAATCACCTTGATTTAAAATAATTATAACTCATTGAAATCCTGACAGCCCAATTAATTAATCACATAATCAGGGACTATAAAAAATAAGTAGGCTCTATTCTGTGCTGGTAAGTTAGAAAAATGCTCAGAGTGATATATTATTGAAGAAATGTTTATTTCTGTTATTTTAAATCTCATCTTGGGATGTATTATAAGTGAGTAAAGAGGACAGGATCTGCTGATAAGGCTAATTATAAGGAGATCCACTCTGCAGTAATTGGGTACCTCACTGCTGAATGAAACGTGAACACTGCTGTGCTATTGGAAAGATCCCCAGGGTACTCCAGAACTGTTTTTTAAGCGCACGACAACCCTTCTGAAGTTTCCTTCTACTTTGCCTCAGGTTTTAATTAGTTGACTCCACTATGACCTATTGGTTTAATATCTCCCTTACTGACTAGGTAATGCTTTGATGTTCAAGACCCTGTAACTAAAGAGGCTAATAACTTGATTCTAATTTAATTGGGAATTTGCAGAAGTTTCTTTCTTGTAAAGAGAAGTGGTGGTCTGTAATTTGGTGATCTGCTAGCAGACACAATCCAGTCTTAAATATCCAAGCAAGATGGATCATTAATGAGCAGTTTAAAGGGAAAAAAGTAATGTAAAGATTATTTTTGGTAAAATTTCCCCACATGCAGGTCTTTGAATTTGAAGTATTTGCATTTTGAAAATTTTTCTGGAGCATGTTTTTAATAAAAAAAATAGTAGCTGAAATAACTTCACAATCCTATAATTCTGTTATGAATATATTGAGTCCCATGATATTGTAAGCATTATCACTCTTCTTCATGGATGCCTAGGACTACATTGCATTCATTTTTGTATTTTCAGAAATTAAGAGGATTCTTGCACATATTAGAAACTTAATTAATGTTTATTAAATACAGAATGAAAAACAACAAGTGAGTCATACCTATGATATTTTCTAGGGGCATATTTTGGCTTATCTGACTTCATAAGGAGTCCCAAGTAATACTAGGGGTCTCCATACCTGAGCGAGAGAAAATGTTTCTTATTTTTCTCCTTTGCTTCTTCCCAAGCCAAGTGTTTATAGAGGCTTAAAGTCTTATTCATACGCATACAGTGAAAACCTGGCAAGATTTTTTCCAGTAACCTGTTCCTGGATCCTATTGTTTGGATGATCAGTTGAGTAATATGGAACACAGTTTCTACTGCCCACACAGCACACCTGAATAAACGATTGTTGTGACGTGTGTTACTGTCATAATTGCAACCTGCCCTCTGTGAGTGGATATAGCACATGTGCACTTGGAGATGGTACACCTAGATAACCCAGCTAAACCAAACAAATCTATTACAGAAACAGATAGATAAAGCTGGAAGTGATCAGGCTTGAAGAAACATTGTTTTGGCATAAAGCCCAGGACAGCGCAGATTTGTGTGTGCGGTGTGTGTCCATGGGCCTTTGAAGCTGCATTCCTGTCCCCTCTGTGATTTGAATGACAGAAGGTGAATCTATTATGAGTAACATCATTGTAGGTTATAGAATCACAAACCTGTTAGAAAACTTATGTTCCTCCTTATTTTTTTACTTTTCTGTTAACATTCCCAATGATATTCTTCAACAACTACACATGCCATATAATTTTGACAATTGGGAATATGTTTTGACACTTAGTGATCTGTTTGAGTCATTTGATCAAAGTAAAATATTGACTACAGATAAGTTGTTTATTTGGTTGAAGTATATGGAATTGCTGATATTTGTCCATTTTTGACCTACACGAACGGCAATTTTAAATGATTTAATCCAGTGGTTCTCAACCTTCTGGCCCTTTAAATACAGTTCCTCATGTTGTGACCCAACCATAAAATTATTTTCATTGCTACTTCATAACTTTAATGTTGCCACTGTTATGAATTATCATGTAAATATCTGATATGCAGGATGGTCTTAGGTGACCCCTGTGAAAGGGTCGTTCGACCGCCAAAGGGGTCACGACCCACAGGTTGAGAACCACTGATTTAATCTAATGATTAAATAAACAACACCAAAACAGGTCTAAGGATATAGAAGAGTCTGTTCTTTTCCTTTTTAGAACCTTACTATTCAACATGTGGTTGGGTGCCAGCAGCATCAGCCTAGTGCTTGATGGATGAGCTTGTTAGAAAAAAATGCAGGGTCTTGGGCCCAAATTCAGACCTAAGGGAAACGATCGGTCAATATTTCAATAGATTAAAAACCTTACTTAAAATTGTGTACATTGCCAGGGCTCTGCCTGCATTTCAGCTTGCACTGGCCTTTCAGGGAAGGGAGGTGAGGAAGCGGGGAGGAAGGTAAAAACTCTCCAGTACCTCACTTAGGTGGCTAATGCTCAGCAGACCTTGACCTTTCAGTCTCTCCAGCCTGACTTCCCTCTCCTTCATGTGTCACTCCAGACCTTGTCAGAGTCTGATTGGTAGCCATGACGTTCTTTTGAAATTTACCAGGAGTTATTTTGCATAAGTTGCATATAACAAGATATTTTTCTTATAGCTTCAATGAGTGGGTTTGTTTATTTGCTTCCACCCCAAGAAGCAGTGTGTAAAAAACATTTGTGCTTTGGGAGTTAGACATTAGGTTGAAGCCCCGTTCTGGTTTTTTTTTTTTTTCTGGCTGTTCATGTTGGGGTTAGGCAATTTATTCACATTTCTGAGGCTATATCCGGTGTCTGATAAATGTGGATAATACTGCCTTCCCATGAGGGTTATTATAAATTAAACGAGATATGTGAGTATGTCTGGGACACAGGTGTCCAATGTTAGTTTTATTTTCCTTGGGGTTTAAGTGCAAAGGGAACAAATAAGAAGCAACAGAGAAGGGCAGAGAGCTTGAGATTGGGTGAGACACGCTCCATTTTCCTGTGATAACCATACACAATAGTCTTGATCACCATTGTATTTCTAATGCTCAGCACAGAGTCCCTCACAGAAAAGGTAGTTGGCATTAATATTTGTTTAATGAATTTTCTGAGGGTTCTGTGCTTGCTTTGTGTATCATGGGGTAGATGAAAAGCTTTCCTGAATGAATTCTTCAGCAGGTCCCAGTCGTGGGCTGCCTAAACTAGATGCAAAAAATGGAGACAATGGCTAAGGAAGCCGACAAGCTCCAATTCCCGTGGCTGCCAGGAGAAAGAAAATAAATAGTGTGAAAAGGGAGCCAGATGAAACTAAATAGTGTCCCTGGAAGTGTATGCCAGGTGGCAGCTCTAGCTTCTTAAACTATATACTGAACTCCTAGCATTTTAAACCCTATCCTCATCTTATTCCTTAGTCAAAATAAATATTCTTACAGTAGAGTCCTATGGCCAGAATTATGGAAGAAACCTACTTTTGGAATAAAAACATGCATTTACTCTTGAGAAGTTTCTAAATCCATCCATGTGTGTTTGCTCAGATGGCGTGACTTGCTACCTCCTGTTGCTTGTTCAGGAATGGATAACACATGACTAATTAACCCATAGGAACACAAGCATTTCTTATGGCTTTTACACTCTAAATCTCATGATGATTAATGTTGTTGTCTTTTCTTCTGAGATAATCATGAAGCTCAGGGCAGGATGATGCAGATGACGACATGGGTACAAACATTATTTCCAGTCTCAGCCTTTCCAGCAACCACTAAATGGGAAAATGATAATGCTTCACACACATCTGATAAAAATTATGATGGGTTTTTATCTCTTTTCTTGTAGATCAAAGGAAGACCTACAATTACTATAGTACATTGTCATTTACAAGTGACAAACTGTATGATGATTTTGAAAGAGAGGCTTCTAAAAATTTCACAGAAATGAGCCAGAGAATTGAATCAATGGTAAGCATTTTTTCCCCTCCATTTCCAGGGCCATCACTTTTTTTTTACCATAATTTTTAGTACCTTAGCTTCTATGACATCTATTTCACTGACCTTGCATATCTTTGCAAAATAAGGAGAGCCCCCTCCCTAAGGGATATAAAACAAAATAACAATTCATGACTTCAGAGAGTATGATGTGCAGAACTGAACCAAATGACCTTAGCCATTTCTTTGTTTCTCCTACTCACACTTCCTTAGCTAGGGCTATATGCTTAATCAGCAAAATCCAGAAATTCTGGGAATGTGAGGGTTGATGTATCCTAGACTTCTTAAAGAAGAAACCCTGAGCAAAAGACCACCAGATTAAAACTATTGAAACACATACTTGGATAATATTTTCGCATTTAAAAATCGAATCTTGTTCCAGTTTTTGGTAATAAGTGCATAAGAAATCCATGGGTACTCATTCTATCACGAAGGCATCAACGTTATCCTGAGGGATGAATGAAATATTTTAAGAAGTAGAAAAATAAGTAGTATTGGCCAAAAGAGCAAGGGCCTGGGTGGTGACTTCTTATTGTCAGATTACTTAGAGAATAATTCAGATGTTTCCTGATATTTTGTGAGGTAATTAGTGGTATGATGTGATAGAAAGCCCCCTAAGCTAGGAGTTGGGACATCTATTTTTAGTACCATGTACTAGCTAGTGATGTGTTCTTTGGGGCATCACTTATCATTCTGGACAAATTTTTTTATGTGGATATTAGGGCATTAAGACTGGATCATTTCCAAATCGTCTTCCAGTTCCAACACCCTGAGTAATAACAGAATGGCAGTGAATCGCCTGGAAACTGCCTGGTAGACTAGAAGCCTGAGGATTCGTACACCTTGCTGAGGAGGAGGTCAAATCTTGGTTGTATTTGTATTTGTAAGCACCAAGTCAGGGAAATATCTGAATAAGCTCCTCTTTAAAGCAATATATATTGAGTGGCCAGATTATTATGACTACCTGACGTTTTTAGGCAAATTAGCTATAATTTCTCGCTGAAGTTGCTAGAGGGCCAGACCATTATAAATAGGGAAGCAGGTTGTTTACCATGACAGTAGAAGTGATTTTTTTTCTGAAGATATGGGTAAAAAACGTGATTTAACAGCCCTTGAACGTGGAATATATTTGAACATGAGTGGCCAGATTATTATGACCACCTGACATTTGTAGGCAAATTAGCCGTACACTGCACGTATGGGATATGGAAGCCGAAGGCCTGTTCCAACACCTTTGCTGTCTGCAGTTACCAAGATAAAACATCTCCAATTCGCACAGGAACATAAGGATTGGACAGTCGAGCGTTGGAAAAAAGTCATGTGGTCCGATGAATCACGTTTCCAGTTGCAGCATGCAGATGGAAGAGTGAGAATTTGGCGGAAACAGCATGAAAGCATGCACCCCACATGCATGAGTACAATCCTTCAAGCTGGTGGGGGCAGTGTTATGGTTTGGGGCATGTTTTCCTGGCATGATTTGGGCCCTTTAATTCGTGTGGAACAATGTCTGAATAGCACAACATACCTAAGTATCATTGCTGATCAAGTTCATTCTATCATGTTGATGGTGTATCCCAATGGAGATGGCTTCTTCCAACAAGACAATGCGCCATGCCACGGTCCTCGTATTGTGCAGGAGTGGTTTCAAGAACATGAGGGAAACTTTACCTTGCTTAGGTGGCCCCCCCAGTCACCAGATCTCAATCCAATTGAGCATTTGTGGGATGAAGTTAAAAGAGCCATCAGGCAGCTGGTTCCACAACCATCAAATCTCACAGAACTGGACAGTGCTATTCATCAGGCATGGTGTCAGATTCCTCGCATCACCTTTAAACATCTCGTGGAGTCAATGCCAAGAAGAATCGCCGCAGTATTGAAGGCAAAAGGTGGCCCAACGAAGTACTGATGGGGTGGTCATAATAATCTGGCCACTCACGTTCAAATATATCCCACGTTCAAAGGCTGTTAAATCGTGTTGTTTGCCCATATCTTCAGAAAAAAATCACTTCTACTGCCATGGCAAACAACCTGCTTCCCTATTTATAATGGTCTGGCCCTCTAGCAACTTCAGCGAGAAATTATAGCTAATTTGCCTACAAACGTCAGGTAGTCAGAATAATCTGGCCACTCAGTGTATATATTTATATATATACTAGAGGCCCGGTGCACAAAAATTTGTGCACTCGGGGGGGGGGGTCCCTCAGCCTGGCCTGTGCCCTCTCGCAGTCTGGGACCCCTCGGGAGATAACGACCTGCTGGCTTAGGCCTGCTTCCGGGTGGCAGAGGGCATGCCCAATCCCTAGGTTCAGCCCCTGGTCAGGCTCAGAGCAGGGCCGATTGGGGAGTTGGGGCGCTGCCCCTGTCACACTCAAGGCAGGGTCGATGGGGAGGTTGTGGCGCCACCCCCTGTCACTCACAGAGCAGGGCCAATCAGGGGGTTGGGGTACTGCCCCCTGTCACTCACAGAGCAGGGCCGATCAGGGGTTTGGGGCGCTGCCCCCTGTCACTCATAAAGCAGGGCCCATCAGGGGGGTTGGGGCTCCGTACCCTGTCACACACAGAGCAGGGTCAATCAGGAGGTTGGGGAGCTCCCCCCTGTTACGCACAGAGCAGGGCTCATCAGGGGGTTGAGGAGCTCCCCCCTGTCACTCACAGAGTAGGGCCAATAGGGGGGTTGGGGCTCCGTACCCTGTCACACACAGAGCAGGGCGGATCAGGGGGTTGGGGCGCTGCACCCTGTCACACTCAGGGCAGGGCCAATGGGGAGGTTATGGCTCTCCCCCATCACACACAGAGCAAGGCCCATGGAGGGGGGTTGGGGCGCCACCCTCTATCACCCACAGAGCAGGGCGATCAGGGGGTTGGGGCGCCGCCACTGTCACACTCAGGGCAGGGTCGATGGAGAGGTTATGGCTCTACCCTGTCACACACAGAGCAGGGCCCGTGGAGGGGGGGTGCTTGGGGCACTGCACCCTGTCACACACAGAGCCACAGGGCGATCAGGGGGTTTGGGCGCTGCCCCCTGTCAGGCTGATCCCGGTGCTGGGAGGCATATTACCCTTTTACTATATAGAATAGAGGCCTGGTGCACGGGTAGGGGCTGGCTGGTTTGCCCTGAAGGGTGTCCTGGATCAGGGTGGGGGTCCCCACTGGGGTGCCTGGCCAGGCTGGCTGAGGGGCTGAGAGCCGTTTTCTGGTTGGCGGGTGACTGAAGCTCCCAACCGCTCCTTTTTTTCTTTTTTCTTTTTTTATTCTGGGCCAGCTTTAGCTCTGAGGCCTCGCTGCTGAAAACATTGATACAATGTTGTGGTCCGGCTGGCTGAAGCCCGGCTGAATAAAGCAGGTTTCTAGGGTTTTGTTAAGCTTCTATATTTGTTACATAGTTGCTTAGAGTTGCAGATGAGAGGCCGGCAAGTGAGGCAGGGAACGTTGGAGTCCGCTGTCACTGGAGCAAGCAAGCCTCCCTGTTTGCTTCAGTGCATGGCTGCCGGCCGCCATCTTGGCTGACAGCTAATTTGCATAAGGATATGCTGATTAGCCAATGGGAAGGGTAGCGGTCGTACACTAATTACCATGTTTCTCTTTTATTAGTGTAGACTAGAGGCCTGGTGCACAACATTTGTGTACTGGGTGGGAGGTCTCTCAGCCTTGCCTGTGCCCTCTCGCAGTCTGGGACCTTTCGGGGGATGTCTGCCTGCCTGCTTAGGCCTGCTCCCCCTGAGCAGGCAGGTGGACATCCCCCAAGGGGTCCTTAGTGATGTGCTGTGGAGGTGGGAGAGGCTCCCACCAACCCCACTGTACTCACCAGCCTGTGGGAGTGCACTGATCACTGGGGGGCAGCTCCTGCATTCAGTGCACATCATAGTGACTGGTCTTCCATCAATTGGTCAATTTGCATATTAGCCGTTTATTATATAGGGTAAGTTTTTCACCAGGTTTGGAAACCATGTGACACTCATGCACTCATATCTCTAACCCAATTACTAGTTGGCAGAATTAATTCATTTTCCTTGTATACTTTTGTCTATATCTCAGGATGTGAATATTTACTGTTACTTTTTAAAAAAGTCTATTTATTGTCTTTTATCTCTTTTTGAGTGTAGTACAACTGATGTCACTTCAGACCCCTCTATTATGGTTCCCCAGCTCCTATAAGTCCCAAGGCAGAGTTCAGTGGAAGTCACTGAGTAGAATACTAAAAAAAGGGTCCTCAAGTTTGGCACATGGTGATATGTTGGTCATTGTGTTTTGTTTTTAATTGAAAAAAAATGTAAACTTTAAATTAGCTTGCAGAATTTCAAGGAATTGTTGCTGGAATAATTTGAATATTTTTTGGAACAGGTGAGAAATGCATTTAATAAATCTTCATTGAGGGGAGAATTCGTCATGTCTCACATTATCAGATTCAGGTATGTAGATCTAAATTACTTCAGAATACAAATTAAAGCTAAAGCTGTTGATGTAATCAGTTTATAAATGCTGTTTAAAGTGTTATAATATGATGTAATTCAATTTCACAAATATTCATTTGGCACCTATTCTGTGTAAGTCATGGGTTACAATGTGTCTTGCTGATTTTCTAAATGCAAAAGAAAGAATTTGCAAGATGATTGAGAATTTCAGAAATATTATTGGTGGCTATGTTATAGAATTATGGGTGTTTTTTTTTTTTTGGCAAATTCTAGCACAAATAGACACCTACCACATCTTTTGATTTAATAGTAAATAGTGTAAGTAGATAAGGTTTGTCTTCATCTCTTGGTTTTCCTTATCAATTTTCTTTGCTATTTTTTATTTTACCCTTTCTGCTCCAAGTATTTAAGATCTTAGATCTGACTATCAACCGTGAATAAATAGAAATTTAGAGCACATTTTATGCAAAGCACTATATGAGGATCTTAAATAATATAGTGTCTTAATGAAAATTACTTGTATTTTTCAAAAATAGGATAAGAACTCTTTCCAATATTATTTCAATGACAAAACTCCAAGATTCACTTCTTAGTCTATTACTTTGTTGACATCTTTGAGGTGTGACTTTTGTCACTTTCACCTGAAAATTCTGTCCTCTTTAGTATTTGAAATATTATTCTTTCTTGGATCTCTAATCCTTAATTTTTTTCTCTCTAAAGGGGACTTCATCCACATGTGTTATTGAAATCCAAGTGTATTTTTCCAGTCTAAACTATTTTCCTGGCTTCTAGAACTATATGCCTGCCCAAGTACATTTCCACATGGAAGTTCCACAGAAATATCTTGGAGTCAAGGAAAACCCAGTCTAATGAGAAACTTAGGAGTCATGATACACTCCTTTCTTTCCTGGACCACTCACACATGGATAACAAAGTTATACCAATTCTATCTTCCCAATCACTTTCCAATTTATTTCTTCATCCTACAAACTTTGCTCTTCATTTAAGTAAAGTGTGTTGGAAAGATAAAGTTAGTCTTAGAGATGTTGAATTGAGATGCTAGGGAACCATATGAGCCTGAAATATGAGTCTAACTTAGGTATAAATGAAATTTCTCGGAAAAAGGGTAATGAAAGATAAAAAGAATGTTTGATGAAAAAAGCTTGATGAAGAACAACAATGTGTAAGGAGATTCACAAAAAATAGGAACCTAGGCAATAGGGAAGAAGCAGAAAAAATAAAAGAAAATTCATGACAGATGCACAAAATTCAAGAAGAGACTGGAAAGAATTGACTGATGTATGAGTCAATGAGGAAGTCTGTTGAGTGTGTTTACCTCCACATCCCACGTGGATCAGGGTTCAGGACCTGGAAGCGGAGCCACCCACAAATGAAAGAGAAAAGACAAGAGATAATTGGAAATATTGGGGGGCCAGGCGGGCAAGTCCAACTCAAGGGGAAGGACCTCCACTGGTGCTCAGGCCTCACCAACCTTTTATTGATCTGGGATACACCCATAGCATAGCCCTTAGGCAGGCGACCCCAGGCAACAGGCAGACTAGCCCATCAGCAAGGATTTACATAATAATAAATGGGGAAGTTACTTCAGCTACCACTGTCTGGACAAACAGAGGTGGCGCCTAGCTCTGACCTTTGCTAGGGCTTCAAAGGTACCCAGCCTTGGGGGCGAGGGGGGTGTCTCTGTCTACACTTATCAGCTAGTGAAGACAATAAACCATTTCCCACAGAAGTCATTTAGTGTAGACGAAAGACTCAGTGGACTGGGAGGGGAGGAAGCAGAGTGCAAAGAAGTAAATATGAGGTAGAATGTAATTTATCTGTTCAAGAAGGTTTATTGTGATAATAAGGTGAGAGATACATTGAGTTTCTGGGGTAGGGAGAGGATTTTATTTGTTTTTGTTTCTATAAGCCAGGCAGTATAGGAATATTTTAAGAGACTGAAGAAGAAATAATTGATGTGCGGGGTTGCTGAAAGGCTATGAGATACATAACAATAATCTCTTTAAAGCCCTATTTGTTTCTTCAGATTACAAAAGCAATACAAAAAGATACACAGTTCAACAACACAGTATTACATAAATAGAACCTGAAAGCTCCCTCTCCAATAATTCCACTTCCAGAAAGAACTCATCTTCTTAACCATCTATTTTGCACATATTTTTAATGACTGAATGTACATCTATTCCATTTTTTAGTTGGCTGTATAGTATTTCACTACAAGTATGTGTCAGGGTCAACTTAGCCAATGCCCTTTTGATGGACACTTGGGTTGTTACATATTTTTGGATTTAAAAACAAGGTTATGATGAACATATGCATACATATCTCCTTGTACATACAAAAGGGTATTTGAAGATTAAATTTCTAAAAGTAGAAATACTGCATCAGAGAGGGTGGATAATAAAACTTATAATAAAAAAACTGACCTCAAAAAATAAGATTCTAATTTATAATTCTGTTTATAATTTATGTAAGAGTTAATGCCATGTAGAGGTAGGAGTAAGATTCTATGGGAATTGATCATATGTGAAAAACATGGGGTGAAGCAGCTGACAGAAAGAGAAAGAGTAGTCAAGGCTGAATCCAAGTCAGTAACTCATTCAAATAACAAAGGTTAATTAACACTCTACCTAGAAAATACAATCACATAGAGTCAACATAGTTTGGTCAAGCTTTCTAAGATTCTTAGGATTTGGGAGTTGTTTAGGAGAGCCTGAAGGTTGCTTAGGAAAAATTATTGGTTTTAAGTCACTAGGAGTTAAGCCTGAAAGCTAAAGCCAGAGTCAATTTCATATTCAGTAAGCATTATACTTGATAATAATAAAAAAAAACTTTTTTGATTGATTTCAGTGATGAAGGGAGAGGAAGAGAGAGATAAAAACATCAATGATGAGAGAGAATCATTGATTGGCTGCTTCCTGCCCATTCCCTCCCTCCCCCCACTAGAGATCCAGTAGCAACATGGGTATGCATGCACCCTGACTAGGAATCAAACTGTGACCTGCTGGTTCATAGGTCAATGTTCAACAACTGAGCCATACCGGTGAGGCTATATTTGATAATTTTGAATGGCTAACAAGAGAAGTGTCTTTTTATATCAATAACCATGTACTTAACTGGGTCCTTTGGTTGTAATAGAAACCATGAACATACTAGCTTATTACTATCAGAGAGGCTGAGTTGGGAGTTCTATATGTGGTAACCAATAGGAATATAGAAGAAAATAAACTAGATCTTTTAAAATTACATGTATGGATTTGTTTTTTGTGTTTCAAAAGAATGATAAAGTAAAATATACTATATAATAAAAGTGTAGAATGCAAATTGTCCCCTTGACTGGGAGTGCTCTAGGAATTCAACCAGGAGGCAGCGGCAGGTAGTTGGGGAAGAGAGGGAGCCTCAGGCCAACAGTGGTAGCAGGCAGCTGGGGGAAGGGAGTGAGTAACTGCTGGCAGCCGGCAGTCACTAGGGACCCTACCAGTGCATGAATTTCATGCACTGGGCCCCTAGTATATGCTATTACTCTAAATTTTATTCTAAACTATATTTTAAAACCACATTTTTTTTCCTTTTTGATCCACAGTAAAGAGGTAAATGGAGTGTTGGCTCACATGCTGCTGATTTTTAGATTTCGCTCTACTGAGGATCCTGAAACCATAAATAAAATTATTCAACGAGTTCTACATGAAAAGCTGTATGATGCTGTAGGGCCCCCTAAATTAGATCCTGAATCAGTTGAAATAAAAAGTAAGTTTATTTTTCTTACTTAGTTTAATTCTCTTACATAAAATATCTCCATGTTAAGTTTGGTCTTGGGCAATGATTTTTAGAAAATTATTTTGGATGCCCTTTAATTATGGAGTCTTGCCACTAGTAGAACATTTCTTTGGGACCAAATTGGTCCTAATAAAGTATTTTAATTTTTTATACTACCCAAAACTTATGGCTTGCATGCAAGTTTGTCATTAAGTAATTGTGAAATTCATTTAAATATTTGTATATTTAACCCAATATATATAAGATAGTATTATTTCAACAGTCAATGTACAAATTATTATGAGTATATATCTATAATAATAAAAGCATAATATGCTAATTAGACCAAACAACCTTCCAGACGACCTTCCGGACTAAGCCATGGCGCTGTGAGGCCGAGGCAGAGGCAGCTGCAGTGGCTATGGGGTCCAAGCCCCTTGCACGAATTTCATGCATCGGGCCTCTAGTATATATATATATGTATATACTGTATATGTGCATATATATATATATATATATATATATGTATATATATATATATATATAATACTAAGGCTTTGAAATCTAGTGTATATTTTATATATATAGTGCATTTCAATTTAGATAAGCCACATTTCAAGAGCTCACTAGGCACATGTGGCTAGTGGTACAATATGGGAATTGGTAGTATTAGAAATGAGACCATAGGGAACAAGTACAAAGTGCAAATATAAAAGCTGGTAGACTTCACTAGAGGCTTAACTTGATGGTCAGCTACCTTACTTGCTTACAAAGGAGACTTCACTAGTCAGGGCTACTACATAATTTGTGGGGCCCAGTGGAAAAGAGAAAGTTGCATTCTTCAAAAAGCAATTTAAAAAAGGGCTGTTAAAGGTAATAAAACATAAGTCCTCTCATGGCCTTTTTCTCTCATGGTCTCTTGTTTTGTCATGCTGTTTTTATTTCTTAATGTCATTTAAAGTAAAAAAAAATAAAATTACTAGCATGAGTTTTACTGTTCACATTCATTCTGTGAAATGTCAATTTTAAATACAAATATAAGAGCATTTCATTTTTACATGGAATCACAAAAATTATACAATTGTATTTCACAGCTCATACATATATATTTCAGTTTTTACCAGGTCAATGAAAACACTACACAAGGCGAGCATGAGCTTTTTTTTTTTTTTTTTTTTAAATGGTTGAACTTCTTTATTGTTTTTTAAATCCTGAAGTAATGGGACATTTATAAAGAGCTTACACTTTTTATTATATCTGACATTTAATGAGAAGTCATTGGAAGGGTTGGGGATTGGATGAACAATGTGTTACTGAAGTTAACGGAAACTCCTTATCCTCTTCTCTTCATGTGTCCACTCTTCCAGTTATTTTTTTTTATTGCTAAAAGTATTACAAAGGGTATTACATATGTGTCCTTTCCCCCCCGCCCCTGCCCTTGACAATCCCCTGGCCTCCCTTACCCCCCAGTGTCTTATGTCCATTAGTTAGAGCATGAGCTTTTTTATTTACCTTGTTGACACATGCACATTTTAAAGGCATTCTCTACCTTTAGCTTAAGCAAAGATGGCTTATTTATTTATTATTATTTATTATCTATTATTATCTATGCCATTATTTCCAGCAGAAACTGTTGGCCAATGCCAAGAATAATGAGAGCAAGAAAGAATATATTAGAGTGCATTGGTTGCTCATGTCTACTAGAATGTCATTGCCTCCCTTTTAAGCACCCTCTGGTTCACACAGGAAACCTGGCGTCTGGGGACTATCACTGCCCTCTGCCTAATGTTGAGAAGTCAACGAGCTAAGGAGCCATTGGTTAGAGTCAAATGACGATGTGAAGGCAAATCGCCTTGCTAAAACGTTGGCAGAAGGAAGACTTATAATAGTAAAGAGATAACATTGGTTTTAAATGGGCGTGAGAACTAATTTATGGAAATGCCACGTGGTTGTTGTACAAATGGGACTATGCCTATGGCTTTAGTAAAATAATCTGAAATAGTGGCCAATAAAAATAATATCATTGCATTTGGTCAATCAAAACTGTGGTTCAGACCATTATTTCCCTCAAAGAGACTGTGGTCCACATGCATCTTATTTCCTGGTATAAAACTCATGCTCCTGGGCTTCAACACAAAATCACTGAATCAGAATTACTGGAAAGAGAAACAGGTATTTATATTATGAAGGTGCTCCTTATGTTACTCTATCCTCACTAAAGTTTAAGAAACACTGTTCAGATCTCTCTTTTCCCCAAGGCAGTGAACATACTATGTCTATGATAAAAATAACTATGTTGCTTTCTTTACAACCTAGAGATATGTTATTTTAAAATAAAATTAAACCAGCCTTTACTATTTGAAGTATTCAGAGGCATTATGCAATTTCTGATGAGCTGACCCTGTTCAGCATTTCTGTATATTTCAGAAATCAACAAGACAGAAACGGACAACTTTCTAAACAATTGTAAGTTTAATATATTTATTAAAATCACATGACTTGAATGTAAAATGTTAACACTAGATTATTTAGGCTTACTTTACGTGGTGTTAAGGGTCAGAATAAAGTTTGAGTGTTCTGTGTACAGCTCATGGTGCTTTAGCTTACCTCTGAGGCACATTTTATTACTAAAGAATAACAAAATTGGGGGAATTTTGGAGTGGATGTATGGGTGTTCATGGCATATGTGTATTGGAAATGAATCATGCAGTTGTTAAATAAGAGGCAAAAATATTTCTTAATGTTCTGATTGAAGATAACTGTAATATATTTTCACAAAAGTTTTCTAAAGATTATAGAAAAGTAATCTGAATGTTGGTATTTTTCAGCTAGAGGAAGAAACTTGTTATTCTACACAAAATAAAATCTTCTTCTTTATTAAAAAAATATCTTTTTATTGATTTCAGAGAGGAAGGGAGAGGGAAAGAGAGATAGAATCATTGATCACTGTCTCCGGGAAGCCCCTACCAGGGATCAAGCCTGCAACCTGGGCATGCGCCCTTGACCAGAATCAAACCCGGGACCCTTCAGTCTGCAGGCCGATGTTCTATCCACTGAGCCAAACTGGCTAGGGCAAATAAAATCTTCTTGATTAATCCCATATTGTGGAAATCACCGGCAATCATAGGGCTGGAGTGTATATTGATGACATTACCGAAGGCCTAGATAACATTTTTTACCTGTATTTTAAAAATTCTGACTCTAGACCTAGAATTTCCTTCCCTCATAGCAGAGTATTGCATCAGGATTTAGAGAGTACATTAGATAGTTACAGAATAAGTACAGAATATATTTATCTTAAAAGATGGAAGGAAATATGCTACTCACCAGCTCAGAATGTTGGTTGATACATAAATTTAACTAGGCATAAGACCAAAGGATAATCCTATTACTTAAATAAAATATATTCTTGTCACCAATATTTATTAGGAACCTACTATGTGCTAGTGCTTTGGTAGGCAATAGGGATATAAAGGATGAAATAATATCCCTGCACAAAGAAGCTCATACTCTAATGGGACTATATGTACAGGGACTAGTGCATGAACTAGTGCATAACTCTAAAACAATAGCTCTCAAACAAGGGCAATTTTGACCCCCAAAGAATTATGCTCTATGGTGCCATTTTTGGTTATCATGATTGTGTGTGTGTGTGTGTGTGTGCACGCTGCTGGTATCTAGTATGTATAGGTCAGGGGTCCTTTTAAACATCCTATTACTAGTATACAAAGGACAGTCTCCCACAACTATTAAGAACTATTCATCCCAATTGTCAATACTTCCAAGGTTGAGAAACTCTGTAATTAATATATATATATATATATATATATATATATATATATATATATATATGTGTGTGTGTGTGTGTGTGTGTGTGTGTATATATATTATATATATATATATATATATATATATATGACAGGGAGAGAGGTATATACACATACAATATATAGAGTATCATTTTTTTAATGAAGGTATTAACGAAAGTTATAACTAATCCAGTTTGAGGATGGGGATTAGAGACAGCATCCTAGAGGAAGTAATGACTAGTTTAAATCTTACAACATGAATAGGAGTTAAATAATGAAACACAACAGTTTAAGGAAAGGGAAAAACAAGAGAAAATGTTTGATACTACTGGAGCTCAAAGTATGAAAAACTTGGAATACAGAAACACAATTTGAAACTTAAAAGCAACCGCTAACTAATGCATCATCTCTCTTGGGCAGGTTGTGGGACTCGGAAGAATAAAAGTACAAAACAGAGTGTCAGGATTGTTGGTGGGACACAGGTTGAAGAGGGTGAATGGCCATGGCAAGTTAGCCTGCAACTGGATGGGATCCATCGCTGTGGAGCAACTTTAATTAATGGCTCATGGCTTGTGAGTGCTGCTCACTGCTTTAGAATGTAAGTCCTGAACCTCATGAGTGATTGGGGGTAAGCAGAGTGCTTTGGGGCTTGGCAAGAAAAAAATACCTTATGAAGTTTAAGAGAGATGAGTTTAGTATATATTAAAGAACATACATATCACAAAGAGAATGGGAAACTCTTAAACCTTAGTAAAAGGTTTTATAGTCTGGAAATGGAAATGGCATCAAAGTACATCTGGGTAAATTATCCATTGAAAAGCACACAATAATTTGTCAGAGGAAGCAGGAATTTTAAGACATCTTTGGACTTTGAGCTTGATATCAATGAGAAGAGCCATAGCTCTCTGTTGCATATCTAAGAGAGATGGAGGCTAGGTGGGTTGTAGGTTTGACCCCAATGGGGAAGTTTCCCATGATAAGAATTAAATATGAAGAAACCTGGTAGTAACAAATTGTATAACTGAATAGGTTGGCTAGTTATATTCCAAGGAATAAAAACTTTTTAACCTAGAGTAAAATGCCTACAGTATAGAGGATTGTAATGCTTTGTTAAATTATTGTGCAGTCTTTTTGGTTTTCAGGGAAATGTGTATGTTTGTGGGGGTAGGTGACATGGTGCATGTAGAATGCATTTAGTTCTCTCATCCTGTACAGGATATGCTTTCCATATATGCCTCGGAGTCACTGATGCCAGAAATGTCAAAAGGCCCTAAGGTCTGGAGTGGTAACTCAGCATGCAAAGGAGCAAGATACATGCCATTGTGGCATTTCTACCTGATCTGACCTATGAGCCAGATTCTCAGATTGTTTCTAAAAATAGAAACTATATTTTAAAAAACACCTCATATGGGCAGATTAAATTGTTTCATGGAAACCATTATATTGGTAGAATGGTAAAGTGGAATTTATTCTTCCTATCTGCCTTCCCAGGTATAAGGACCCAACCAGATGGACTGCCTCCTTTGGAGTAACACTATTTCCTTCTAAAATGAAACAAGGCATCCGGAGGGTAATTGTGCATGAAAAATACAAATATCCATCACACGACTATGATATTTCAGTTGCAGAGCTTTCCAGCCCTGTTCCCTACACAAATGCGGTACATAGAGTTTGTCTCCCTGATGCATCCTATGAGTTCCGCCCAGGTGATGAGATGTTTGTGACCGGATTTGGAGCACTGCAAAATGATGGTGAGAATCTGAAGAGAAACTCAAATATAGTCATCTAATTTAGCATTCTAAGGCATTTAAAGAATGAAATGTCTTTATGCCAAAGTATGTTAGTTGTTTGGACCTGGGCCAGGTCAGGCTCCGCTTGTAAATCTAGAAGATACATAAATTCCTTCATACCTTAGGTTACTATCAAGTGCATCGCTACTACCATAGTAATGGTGCTTGGAAAGGTATCTGAAAGAGTAAACATGTCTGAACTTTTTGCTAGGGAATTAAGGACATAAGAGATGAGGGATCATTAATATATTCAATGGTGAAGATAAAAGAATCATAAAACCCCCATCCCCTCCTACTAAAATTACCTGCTAAGCTTAACAATGGAACATAAATTACTTACATCACTTGAGGTTTTTTTCCTGGGCACCTAACTTCTTATTTAAAGTGCTTAGAAAAACATTAGCTCCCCAAATATTACTGTATCTGAAAAATATATAACCTAAGATTCTATATTATCATCTTGTCCGATAATTATGAAAGACTTTTTTCAGGTCTATAAAATATATGTATATCAATAAATATAAAGACTATTTTTTTGCTTTAGGTGGCAGTCAAAATCATCTTCGGCAAGTGCAGGTGAATCTCATAGACACTGAAACCTGCAATAAACCTCAATCTTACAATAATACCATAACTCCTAGGATGTTATGTGCTGGCTCCTTGGAAGGAAAAAGAGATGCATGCCAGGTAAGTGGTTTGACCTATAACTTTTTGGCCAAAAAAGTTATGCTGCATAGATTTTTGCTCACCATATATTTTGAAAAAAATTATAGATTTACAAAAAGTTGTAGAGATAGTACAGAGAGCTCCTATGTACACCTCACTCAATGTCCCTACTGGTGACATCTCACATAACTATAGTACAACATAAAAGCTAGGAAATTGACATTGGTACAGTGTGTGCTTCTAGTTCTAGTTCTATGGCCTTTCACCTCATGTGTAGATTTGTGTAACCACCACTGCAGGTGAGAACTATTTCAACACCACAAAGATCTCCTATAACACCCACTTTCCTCCCTCATCACTTTCTCATCACTCATACCTGTCAGTCACCAATCTGTTTTCCATATCAATAATTTTGAGAGTAAGTTTGAGAGTGCTATATAAATAGAATTACAAAGTAACTTTTTAAAAATTCCTATTAGTGTTTTTGACTAGATTATCTCTTATGGACAATACACTTTGTAGTTCCTCTAAGTTATACACACATAACTTATCACAGTCTACTGGTGTTCAGATTTTACCAGTTTGAGTGGAGTATACAACAGAAAACTTACCTCCTTTCAAATCTCTTTACTCTTCTCCATTTATAATATTAAATATTAATAAAAATAAAATATTACATATTTCCTCTATATGTATAGGGAACCACATCATACAATATTTTTGCTTCAAGTGCCAAAAATAGAAAACTCAAGAAAAGGAAAGTGTATTTACCCATAGTTTCATTCTTTCTTTCTTCCTGGTTTTCTAAGATTCTTTTTTATCATTTCTTTTCTGCTTCAGAAACTTTTTTGACCATTCTTTTAGTGTAGTTCTGCTGGTGACAAATTTCTTTAGATGTTCTTTGTCTGACAAAATACTTGTTTCCTATTAATTTCTGAAGCATAATTTTGCCAGATATAGAATTTGGGATGGATAGTTTTTTCCACCAGCACTTAAATTATGGCCTCCTTGATTCCTAATGAGGAACCTGCTATTATTATAATTATTTTTTCCTTATAGATAGGTTGTCATTTCTCTCTTGCTGTGTTCAAAAATTTTTCTTTGCCCTAATTGGTTTGGCTCAGTGGATAGAGCGTCAGCCTGTGGACTGAAGGGTCCCAGGTTCAATTCCGGTCAAGGGCATGTGCCTTGGTTGTGGGCACATCCTCAGTGGGGAATGTGCGGAGGGCAGCTGATCAATGTTTCTCTCTCATTGATGTTTCTAACTCTCTATCCCTCTCCTCTCTGTAAAAAAATAAATAAAATATATTAAAAAAATTTTTTTTCTTTGTCTTTAGTTTTCAGAAGTTTAATTATATGCCTTGGAATGGATTTCTTTGGGTTAGCCTATTTGGGGTTTGCTCAGCTTTTTAATCTGCAGGTGTCTGCCCTTTGACAAATTTGGAAAAAATTCAGCCATTATTTCTTTGTATAATTTTTAGCCCCACCCTCTTTTATTTCTCTCCATCAGGGACTCTAATGGCAGAAACATTAGTTCTTTTGTTATAGTATCAGAGGTCTCTGAGCTTCTGTTGTTCATTTTTCTTTTTCACTCTATTGTCCAGGTTGGGTAATTTCTATCATTCTATCTTTAAATTCACTGATTTTTATTTTGTCATCTTTATTGAGTTTTTAAAATTTTTATTTTGATTATTGTATTTTTCAGTTCTAAAATTTCCATTTGATTCTTTTTTTATATCTGCTATTTCTTTGCAGAAACTTATTATTTTTTATTTGTTTTAAGCATGTTCATAATTTCCCATGAAGACATTTTTGCAATGGCTGCTTTAAAATCTTTGTCAGATAATTCCAAATCTCAGTGTCAGTATTTGTTGGTTGCTTTCTCTCATTCGAGATTTTCTTGGTTCTTGGTATGATAATACATTTTAAATGTACCCTTGACATTTTGAGTATTGTTATGAGACTCTAGATCTTATTTAAATCTTCTACTTTAACAGGCCTCCTCTGACATGACACTGGAGGGGGGAGGGAGGTGCTGCCTCATTCTCCACTCATCCTCCCTTGACACCGAATGATGTTCCAACTGACTGAGCTATATTGGCCAGGACTCAGATTTTTTAATATTTGCTTTATTTATAGTGTCCACAGTTTTATGTTTTTTTTTCCTTAGAGGTATTTACTTTGTATAAAAGGAATAAGTATATTCCATCTTGGTCCATAGCATAGACATCTTTTTGAACTCTGATTTTGCTTTTCAGTACATAGGCTATCACTGTCGACTTTGAACCTTTGCCAGATATGACAACCATGAACTATATGTCTTCATGCACATTGCTTGATATAATCTTGGAGGGGATCAATAAGTAATTCCTTGAGTATGTCCCTATATACCCCTATAATTTTTATTTTGGGATTTGCTAGATCTTACATTTAATGTGCTCTCTAAGCCTTATTTTGGTCTTTGAAATTCCATGCTATTCTGTATGCTTTCCAGTCTGGATTCACAGAGTGGATATAATTATTTTTTAAGATTTTTTTCAACTTTCCATTTTTTTTCTCTCTCTCACATACATACTGCACCTGTTTCCCCCCCTTCATTGGCTTCTTTTCCCTTAATGCACAGTTGACTTTACCATAGTCCTTTCCCAACATTTACCTCTGGGTCAGTCACGTTAGTATTGCTCAGTTGTCACATTAAACTCTTTCACCCAATTGACCCTTTCTTCACACTCTGGCAAATACTCAAGATTAAACTAATTTCATCGTGTTTCCTTTTTTCTGCTCTGAGGCTCTGTTTGTTCATAAAGGAATGTGGATTGGTTCCAATACAACATTCTACAAAAATTTCAAAATTGATTCTGTAAATAAACCTACTCAGATAAAACCAACTTAATAAGATTCACTGGAAATTAGATCCTCATTATTTGCAGATGCTGTACATGTGAGTTCATCTACTTGCTAAGATTTGTTTGAAAACCCAAAGTCAATACTCAAGGCAAATTCATGATCATGCACAAATTGGAAAACATTTTTAGTCATCCAGTGAGCATGCTCCTACCTCAGATTGAAAAAGGTGATGCTGCCTTCTCGTTTAGTTTTAACAGCATAAATTTATGCTCTTTTTGTGACAAATTTAATGCTACATTTTCCACATTTTTTGTACTTTTTGTTGGCGATTTTGCTATTTTAAATAGTCCCCAGTGTATAGTTCTGAAGTAAAGTACAAGAAGGCTGTGATGTGCCTTATGAAGAAAATAAGTACGTTAGATAAACCTCATTCAGGCATGAGTTATAGTGCTGCTGGCTGTGGGTTCAGTGTTAATGAATCAATAATATATGTTAAATAAGGTAACTTTAAACAGAAACACACAAAAAAATGTGGTTATGTATTGATCAATTGACAAGAATCTGAACAAAGACTCATGGAAGCCTATCCCTTTATTTCCCCTAGGAGCAATGATGATTCATAATTCACTAATTCAGTTTATGCAGCAACTTCTTAGAACATAACTACCCCGAACAATGAGACTTAGTTGATTTAGCTGTATTTTATTTGACTTTTTGATAGACATACAAACCAGATCTACAATCATTGTATAGATATTATTGTACATCTTCTCTCATCGTAATCCCCTTCATCCTATTTGCCTTCAACTTTACTAAAACTATTGAAAACATGTTGTGCTTTCACATGTGTGATCATCACTTATGGTTTTCATTCAAATACTGCAACCTCTATTAATGGTAATGTTCTTATTAAAAGTTTCAGAGGAACAGCTGTATGCTTCTTTAGTTTTATTTAAAAAATTTTATTAGAGAAATTTTAAATATATGCAAAAATACCTCATCCTCAACCCCCTGCTGCAGCACTCAGTTCTGCTTTCTCCTTTTGATTCTTCTTTCTCATCCTCTCTCTAAGCCTGGCTATCCCTTGAGACTCAGGTCTCAGATGAAATTTTTCTCTGTTATCCATGTATTCATTAAAAGAAGGTATCTTTTTTTGAGAAGTCAGTGTCACTTTAATGACTTCAAAATCTACATGTCCAGAATTAACCTCATGCCCACATTCAGTCTCACATTTCCACCTACTCCCAAACCATTTTCATTTATAGGTTTTAAGTTGTTAATATAAGACTAACATTTGTATTTGTGCCATCGCAAACTCAACAGGCATCATGAAATGTTAACTAGATTTTCCATTTTCAAGTTTCTCATTCATATTATCGGGTTTCATTATTCTTGGGTTCTTTTACTCTTCTATCTCCCTCACATGGAGTCAATCAAGTCCTAGAATACTTTTCCTCTTTATCATATCTTCCATGTTTATCTCTTTTGCCAACATTTCTTTTGTTAACACTCCAACTTATTCCTTCATTACTTCATTTCTTGATCACTAAAGTTGCTTCCTGGTTTGGCTTCTTACTTTTAATTTTAGAAGTTTTTGTTATGTGCATTTTGAATAAACTTTCTGTTCCTTTTCCCACTAAATCACTCACTAAAAATAATAAGATTTATGAAAAAAATAGGGTTAGAGACAGATCAGCAGACCCCACAAACGCTATGCAACTTTTAAAAAATATTTTTTATTGATTTCCAGAGGAAAGGAGAGGGAGAGGGAGAGAGAGAGAGACATCAATGATGAGAGAGAATTATTGATTGGCTGCCTCCTGCATGCCCCCTAACTCGGCATGTGCCCTGACTAAGAATTAAACTGCTACCTCTTGATTTATAGGTCGATGCTCAACCATTGAGCAACACTGACACTGGCCTAGCAAGCTATGCAACTTTGTAACCTGAGAATTAACCACAATAAATAATTGTACCTTGAAAAATAACTTGGACAGTGTAGGCAGGAAGAATGCTCAGGGCGGCTGGTGGCTGACTTAGGGGATGTTAAAAATGCATAGAAATAATGACTGGAAATACCTGGTTTTCTGGGACTGAGACAATGCACATGGGAGTGTAGCCCTAAGCAGAGGAGGAAGCCCAACCTGCCAGGATCTAAGGACTAAACAGGACTGGTGTGTGCCCGTGAGTGTGTGTGTGTGTGTGTGTGTGTGTGTGTGTGTGTGTGTGTGTAGGTTGGGAGGTGTAGTCCTAGGCAGAGGGATTTTTTAAGCATTTTGTTAAAATAGAACCCCAAAGGCTTCCTTTTCACCTGAAGATTATAATTCTCCTCCCATTATTCTGGCTTCCCTGGATGAGACAAAGCACATATAAACCATCACTTCCACCACTAGTGTTAGCAGAACAGGTATATCTTTCTCTATTTGATACTTGCTGGACACCACCTTATTTTCCATCTTGTAATGCTGTTGGAGACATTGTAATATATTTTCTTTGACTAACTCATTCTCAGACTTCTTCATTTCTGTCTCTTAAACAGATTTAAACTTTGTTGTCTCTGGCATCTACTATTTCTTCACGCTAATCAGCTCTGCCTTTATATAGGCTTTGGTGTTAATGATCAAAATGATTTGTTTTCAAATAGCACCATGTGGTACATCTTATTTCTATAAATAGATTGTAGGCCCCTTGAGGGCAAGGTCCATGTGTTTCCACTCTTATCTCCTACCTACCACATATTAGGGCATCAATAAACACTTATTGGTAATTGACTTAAAAATTACAAACACGTTGCCTGGCCAGCGTGGCTCAGTGGTTGAGCTTCGACCTATGAACCAGGAAGTCACGGTTTGATTCTTACTCGGGGCACAAGCCCAGGTTGCAGGCTCCATCCCATTGTGGGGCATGCAGGAAGCAGCTGAGCAATGATTCTCTCTCATCATTGATGTTTCTATCTCTCTCTCCCTCTCCCTTCCTTTCTCTGAAATCAATAAAAATGTATTAAAAAAATACAGGTAGGGGAGGGTGGGGGTAAGGAGGAGAGATCGACCAAAGGACTTATATGCAAGCATATAGGCCTAACCAATAGACACAGACACAAGGGGGTGAAGGCATGAGTGTGTGTGTATGTGTGGTGGGGGGACAAGGGGAGAAAAGGACACATATGTAATATCTTTTTTTAAAAATATTTTTTATTGATTTTTTTTACAGAGAGGAAGGGAGAGGGATAGAGAGTTAGAAACATTGATGAGAGAGAAACATAAATCAGCTGCCTTCTGCACACCCCCAACTGGGGATGTGCCCGCAACCCAGGTACATGCCCTTGACCGGAATCGAACCTGGGACCTTTCAGATCGCAGGCCGACGCTCTATCCATGGAGCCAAACCAGTTAGGGCACATATGTAATATCTTAATCAATAAAGAAAAAATAGAAAAAAAAGAAAAAATTACAAACACATTGTTTAAAATTCAGCTATTATAAGTATTAGTTAATAGTTTTACATGGACAAAGGAAAATTCACAAGGAAATTAATATAATGTAGAGGGAAAACATGGGCTTCTGAGTTAGATCACTCTAGATTCACATTCACGTCTGCCACACTAGCATGTGACAACAGGCAAATTACTTAACTTCTATGGGTTTCAGTTACCTTATTGCTAAAATGGACAAAATGAAACACAACCCCATGTTTTGTTGCCAGAATTATAAGAGTGAATGAAATAATATATTAATTAATTAAGTCTTTATAGAATGCTGAACACTTAATGAGTGATCAATAAGTAGAGAGCCCAGGAATCTGATCAGCCAGTACCTTGTTTTTATGACTGGTATAAGGAACAGCCCTCTGTAGTTCACAAGGTATAAACAGTTGGAATTTATAGTTTTGTATATATATTTGCTATGTTCTGCTCTGTGCTAGGCTCTATGCTAAGCACATTAGACACTCTTATATAATCTTCAAAATAATTATCAGAGGTAGGCAGTATTAGGAGCATTTCAAATAAGTAAATTAAAGGTCTTAGCCAACTTGAAAGGGCCAGACTTGAGATTTAAGCCCAGGTATTTGATCTTATGTCCATGCTCATCATCAGCAATAGACTAATCACCCTTCTTTTGAGAGCTACGTGACACTGATAAAGAGGCAACCAGTATGGAGAATTACTTTGTCAGATGTACCAGGTAGGTTAAGAATTCTGTTCTCCAAAGAGATTGAGCTTTTAATCTCAGTGTGAACCCTGAGGCTAAGCTAATTCTGGTGGTTAAGCTTCTCCTTTATGTGAATTATGATTTAGAGGGAATCACTTGTGCATTTGAACACACTAAAGACTTTTGAAAACCTGCCCTTCCATTAGACTTAAGTTAGAAGAAAAATAGCAAATTCCTCTGTAATGAGTGAATTATTAATTACTAATCTTTTCCTTCTCCTTTAGGGTGACTCTGGAGGACCCCTGGTTAGTGCAGATGCTAGAGACATCTGGTACCTTGCTGGAATAGTGAGCTGGGGAGATGAATGCGGGCAGCCCAATAAGCCTGGTGTTTATACTAGAGTGACTGCCCTCCGGGACTGGATCGCTTCCCAAACTGGCATCTAAAGGAGAAAAACTCAGTAGAATGGAGTGCATTTTTGTTTATAGGCCATTTTCAGAGATATGGAATTACAGAAGAAGCTTTGCAGGTCACCTCGATCTGACTGAAAAATGAAACTGTCTGCTCGATGCATAATTTCCTTCTAGCTCCACATGTGAGCATCCTGCTTCTTCCAGATGGATTCTGTCTCAACTTGCATTCATTTATTTTACAAGTTTTCTGTCCTTGATGCCTTGTTGACATAAAATTTCTCATGCATATATACAATTTGAAGTGATTCCTTCTTTCATTTCCCCAGTTTGTTTTATCAGTACATTTCCACTTTCAAGGTGCAGGACAAAGAATAAAAGAAAATATAAGAACGAAAAAACTACATTTTTATGTACAGAAAAATATATATTTTTTTCTGAACAGAATAAGACAAATGATCATATTCATTATGAAAGGTCAAGCAGAGACAGAATACCAAACCCTTCATGATGGACAATGAATGGGAACTAAGTTAAAGAAATTCACAGAGGAACAAGATTTAGCTTTTTCCCCATTTCCAGTAAAAAAAAAACCTACAGAAATAAATGTGGGGAACATTATGTGTTCTTGTGACTTACAATAATTTTTCAAACTCTATATAAAGCAAATAACATTTATTTAACATTGCACTGCTGAGGATGTTAATATCCTCCTATCTAATAATAGACAAACATGGTAATTGACCATACCTTCTCTACGCCTCCCATTGGCTAATCAGCGCGATATGCAAATTAACCGCCAACAAAGATGGCAGCTAATTTGCATACTGCAGGCAGGGCGGGCCAGCGTGAGCCACCATCCAGGCCCCCGTGTGCCGCCTAAGCCCCGCCCCCAGCCAGGACCCCTGTGTGCGGCCCTGGGTGGCAGTGCCAATGGGCTGCCTAAGCCCTACCCCCAGCCGGGACCCCCGTGTGCAGCCCTGGGTGGGCGGGACCCCCATCTGCAGCCCTGGGCAGCGGGGCTTGGCAGCGCGATCGGCCGGAGGAAGCCCTGTTCTTGCAGGAATCCTCCTGCAATGGGCTTGTAGTATATAATAAAAGGCTAATATGCAAATCAACTGAAGGGTGGAACGATCAGTTACTATGATGCGCACTGACCACCAGGGGGAAGATGCTCAATGCAGGAGCTGCTTCCTGATGGTCAGTGTGCTCCCACAGAGGGAGCTCCACTCAGTCAGAAGCCGGGCTCACGGATGGGGAACACAGCAGTGGTGGCAGGAGTCTCTCCTGCCTCCATGGCAGTGCTAGGGATGTCCAACTGATGGCTTAGGCCCGCTCCCCACGAAGCAGTTAGTTGGACATCCCTCAAGGACTCCCAGACTGTGAGAGGGTGCAGGCCAGGCTGAGGGAACGCCCCTCCCCCGCCCCCTCCCCCCCCACGTGCATGAATTTCGAGCACTGGGCCTCTAGTATAATAATAAAAAATAATAAATCTCCCATTTGCTTGACATTGTAATATGGTTATCCATGAAGGAGGAAAAGATGGAATCTGAGAGTAGAATGAAAATTTATTGAAGAACAACCAGCATAGTGTATGTGGTAAGATTTTTGTGTGGGTGAATAAGAGGGAATGAAGAGAAAATCAATTCAAACTATTGAATAAAATAAGATTATCACCAAGTGCCTGTGTATTTACATCTGAAGCTTTCCCAAACTGCAAAGCCTTGGATGGGAATAAAGTCTATGTTAGTATGTAGCTATGGTCATGCAAATAAAGCTAGAGCTCCTCCCCACATTTTGAAATAATTTCAGACCTTCTTCCTCATTGCTGTGCTTCCATCCCATGCTTGCACTGTGGCCTATCTGGTTCAGAGGGGAGGATATGATAGGGGAGATATTCTGGAAGCTGACTCCCTGCATCCAGAATGGCACTGTATTGCTAAATGCTTGGATACAAAATGGAAGAATAAAATGCTAATTACCAGCCACCTTCATAATTTCAGTTCTACTAAATTGTTAGAGACACAACATTCAAGTGGTCTAGGCCACTGTGAAGTTAGGACTGGTGTCATGATATATGCCATATTAATCCTGAGATTTCACAGAATCTTTCATTAATGCTCTACTTACACAGATTCTGTGTTGTAGCACAACCACTTAGAAAACTAACATTAGTAGGAACATTTGACTGTACTTGACCCAAATAACATTGGCATATGGATCTGATAAAATTGAGACACTTGGCTAAAATAAGATATGAAAATTGACATGAATTGATAGTGTTAAATATTTTGCAGAAACTATTTTTGTTCCATTTAATAAAATATTTTGATAAAAAAATTGAGGGAAGTGAAAGATTTTAAACAAAGATTTAAGTACACTTAAAAAATTGAATTTATTGGTGTGACATTGGTTCACAAACCATACAGGTTTCAAGTGTACAACTCAATAAAACATCATCTCATACTGCATCGTGTGCCCATCACTCCAAGTAAAGTCTCTTTCTATGCCCGTTTCCCCGCCATTTGCCCATCTCCACTTAGCCCCCACTCCTCTTTCCCTCTGGCTATCATCACACTGTTGTCTGGGTCTATGTGTTATGTATATGTTTTTCTGCTGGCTAATCCCTTCACTTTACTCTCAGTGTCCCATTAAAAATCTATTTCCCTGATTTCTGTATATTCTGTAGTTGGGCCTCTAGGTGGCACCCATCAGCTGCAGAAAGATACAGGGAAGAGAGATGTTTGTGACTTCAAGTAATAATAAAAACTGTACTAGAAATTCTATACCAGAGTCTTGTGAAACCAAAAGAATACAATTCATGAAAAGGCATTTAAAAGTAAATCCAGGTATACTGGCACCATGGTTAGTATTTTCCAGATTTCTGGAGGTGAGTTTCCAAACTAAAATAAAATGAACATGTGACATAAGGAATTTCCTCTGCAAACTAACTTGAAGAGATTTAAATTAACCACTTTTAGAAGTTTAATTTCACAGTGACATTATATTCCTCAGAGAAATATTTTTGATATTTTCAAAAGATACCTGAAATAGAGGTAAAATCACTATGAAAATATGAGTAATAGTTCAAATTTTATGTGCACAGAGAAATAGGTAATACAGTGTCATATTTTTTATAATGACAACTTCCTTTGCAAGGTAACATAGAAAAAGTTTAAGCATTATTAGAAATGTCTGTTAACCAATTCATTGGAGAAAGTTAAGTCATAGCCAAAATAATATTTATTAATTGGATAAAAAGGTAGGCGATTCCTCTTCTGTATCTTTTATCTCTCTTCCCACAGCACCTAATAAAGTGTTTTGTACCTAATAGTCTTTCAATAAATGTTGCTGAACTGATCTTTTATTTTTGTGTTATTCAGAAAACATAGCTTTATTATTATTTACACATTGATTTTAAGGAGTAATGTTATATTTTACATTGTGTGACTTAAACCAGTTATTTAAACACTCAATAATACTTCAAATGATTGTTCTTGGCGCATAGTAGGTGCTCAAGATATGGTGCTATTGTAATTGTTGTTGTAATGAAACTAGAGTCTTCTTCTGAATAATTGATACTTGATCATAATAGGTTGAATAAATATGTTTGAAATAAAGAAATAGTTATACTAAGAGAATGGGCTATTTTCTTGTTTAATTCTGATTCTATAAAGGAAATTTTATTGGGATCATTCTACAACATATTATCAAGTTTTTCTCTGACTGTTATTCTGATTTTTTAAAAAATATATTTTATTGATTTTTTACAGAGAGGAAGGGAGAGAGATAGAGAGTTAGAAACATCGATGAGAGAGAAACATCGACCAGCTGCCTCCTGCACATCTCCTACTGGGGATGTGCCCGCAACCCAGGTACATGCCCTTGACCGGAATCGAACCTGGGACCTTTCAGTCCACAGGCCGACGCTCTATCCACTGAGCCAAACCGGTTTCGGCTGTTATTCTGATTTTTAATTTCAACTTTAAAAACAATAAACCTTATTAATCAAAGAGTGACTGGATTTTATCAAGATCTATAGTCTAGTTCAAATGATGCCTCCTCCATGAAGCCTTCCTTGACTCACTCAAGTGGACGTAATATCTTCTTTTCTGACATTCTTAACCATTAAAAAAACTTTTCTTATTTTCAAGTAATCATAGACTCATGTATAATTATAAAATATAATACAGAGAGATCCTGTGCATCCTTTTTCCAGTTTTCCCCAATGATAACATCTAGCTTAGTGACAGTAAAATATCATAACCAGGAAGTTGATATTGAGACAATCCATCAACCTTATTGAGATTTCACCCGTTTTAAAAACATGCAATTATGCCTATGGGTGTGTATTTAATTTCATGTAATTCTATGACATATGTGGATTTGTGTGACCACCACCACCGTCAAGGTACAAAATAGTTTTATTGCAATAATTCCTCATGCTACCCACAGCCACCTAGCTTCCTCCCTACCTCATCCCTAGCCTCTAACTCCTGGTAACCACGAATCTGTTCTATATCTTTCTAATTTTGTCAATTCAAGAATGGTATATAAAGGGAATCACATTGTAGGTAGGCTTTTTCACTCAGCATAATTCTCTTAAGATCAATTCAAGTTGTGTGTGTGTGTCAATAGTTCATTCCTTTTTATTGCTGTGTAGTATTCCATGGTATGGATATAACACAATTTGTTTATGCATTCACCCACTGAAGGGCATTTAGGTTGTTCACAGTTTTTGGCTGTTATGAAAAAACTGCTATAACATCTGTGTGTAGGTTTCTTATGTGAACATATGTGTGCATTTCTCTGAGATTAATGGCCTTAAGTACATTAATGGTTGTAAGGTAAGCATATATTTGGTTTGAAAAAAATACACTGCCATATTCTTTTCAGGTGTCTTCTTACCATTTTTTAACTCTCTGTACCTGTACTATCTACTCATGTTTTTTTGGACATGTGTGAATAGATCTTATTTCAACACTGGCCTATAAGCTCTGTAGGGGTAGGGACCATGACTGATTCATTTTCATAACTTTTACAGATAGATAAGATTATTACTTATGGCCCATAAAGATTTATGAAATAAAGTATAATATAGTAATAATAACAAGCAACTGCGGCAATATATGTACAATAGAAAAGAAGAAATTCTTTGGGTAGAAAATAACAGTATTGCCTTCATGAGTGCATTATGCTCTAATTTCTGTAATTCTGGACTTTGCCACAGTAGCTTCAAGTATTGGCTGGTTGATATAAAATGTTCTCCACTTTCCCATATGGTACACAATCATGCACACA